ATAAGCAGCTATCTGCTGTTGCTGTTCCGCTGAACAACAGCAATAAAAAGAGCATTGTAACCAGAAAAAAACAACAACAACTACTACAACAACAAGAACAACTGCCGCATCGCCGGCTGCTGCTTTGATCAATCAACCGTCAAAATTATTGCTGCATGTGGCCCGTGCCAGCTCCAGCTCCCTGCACCGGAGGGAGTCGCGGATGCAATTATAAGCATTTCCACGTGCCGCTTCATTGGAGCTCAGCTCGCGGCCTGACAGTAGCCGTTAGTTAGTGCCAACCAACCCCCAATCCCAGACCCAATTCCGCCTTCATACCCTTTTCCGCACCCAGCACTTGGCTTGCCCCTATTGCAGTTCGCTGTCCATGGTTAAATAGAAATTTATTGGCCACTGGCAAACGCCCACTGAAATGAAAGCTAATCGAGTGTGTGTGTATACAGTGTGTGTGTGTGTGTGTGTGTGTGTGTGTGTACTGTTGCGTATGTGTATATGCGCTGAGAAATTAACTTTAGGGCTCGGTCCTGCTAATGAAGTCTGCCCTGTTTTATATGCAAGACATTGTCATCATAGTCCAGCCAGAATGCACTCATCGAAAATTAAGTTTCACTAGCAGACACCCTGCACTTTGTTGTAAAAAAATAGGGGATACTTTTACAATTTGAGTGCACAATGTGCAGCTACTCAAATAACTAAAATTTTCAACTATTTTCTGATTGAAATTTGGTTTGACTAATTTAAGTTCTTCAATTAGCTTGTTGGAAATTTCCTTGCAAAGCCTTAACTCTTGTGTTTGCTATCTAAAACATACTGAAAGTTTTCCAACAGAACATGTACTGCTGCCAGGCAATTGTAATAATCACGGGCTGTTATGAGAGTTTCTTGAATTTTACAGAAGCTAATATGCTTGATGGCCTACTTCTTAAAAGACAAAGCCAAAGCTGACAATTCTAGTCGTTGAGCATAGATTAATACTTCAAATTTGTAACATTCAATCGATAATTATTGATTTGGTAACCTATTAAGTTTTTCTCAATTGCAAATTATATGAGAAAGTGTAAATAGAGCGATAAGTATCTATGACTTTTAGCCTTTCCTTATTTTTGGTTGGCAGAGGGAACTATAAGGCCCTTTGACATTGTAGAGTTCAAATTGTAGTCGAATATATCGAGGAAAAAAAATCCTACAATTAAGCAGAGTTGCCTGACAAATATTTTAATACATATCAGATATATAATTTATAAATGTATTTTCATGTAGAGGTTTATTAAAGAGTCGATTATAAATATTTGAAACAAATATAAAATTAAATCAACGATGTCGTACAATATTTCCTTTAAATATGCTTTAAAAACAGGGATTTAATTATCTTTTTGTCTTTAATTTTTTTATAAAAATAAATGTGATAAATGTTTAATAAGTAAAATAAATTTTTAAAATCTATATTGCGATCATATATTCACATATATATCGCATAGACCATAGTCTACAAATATCTAACAAAATATAAAAATATTCAACTAAAGACGGTAATTAATAAAGACATGTAAAATAAAATATATGTTTATACATATTTTGTACAAACAGATGTGTTTAGATTAGAACAGATATATTTTATATTTATGCTGTGAACAAATTGTAGTTTCAAATATAATAAAATTTCTTAAATGCTAAAAAAATCTAAGCAAATGTTTGTAATTAAGTAGACAAAGTAAAATTAAAGAGCGGGTCTACTCATCACATGTGATAATGCTGCTGCTGCTGATGTTGTTGTTGGTGTGGCAGCTGTTGCTCAAGTGGCCACTCACATGTGCAACAGCAGCAATAACAACAGCAGCAGCAACAACAGCAACAACTACTATACAACGCAAGCGGAGGCGTTTGTCGTGTTGACGTGCGGCCTATGGCTGGTCTGGTTGTTATTATACGCCCAGCGTGGCGCATAATGCAGCTAATCTGGGGAATTAGGTAAAAAAGCTGACAAAAGGCAAACAAGCGACATTCAAGTGGCTGTTGCTGATGTTCCAGTTGCAGCAGCCCTTGCCAACAGCAACAGCAGCAGCAGCAGCGGCAGTGGCAGTGGCAGCAATGCAATTTTGTATCCTATTACGTAAAGTAACTGTCAAGTCGTTTAGGCAGCTGGACGAGCAGCAGCAACAACAACAGCAGCAACAGCAACAGCAACAACTCCGAGTGACTCAGCGCGCTTATCTGGCAGGCAAATGTCCCTTTTCTCTGTGAAGGATTTACGCACAAAGGAAGCGATACGGGCAAGGCAAAGCCATCGCAACGCGACGCAGGCCAAAGTAGAATGCGCCACCAAAAGTAGCTAAGCGAATTAAAAAAGTAAACTCCAAGTAAATTAAATAAAAAGACTTCACAGTGTGTAGACGGAGCAAAAGAAGGGACAGATAAAAGACGGATGAGAGAGAGAGAGAGTGAGAGTAAGACAGAGGGGGAGGGGCAGAGGCAGAGAGCGAGGTGCGCGGAATGAGGCCAAGAGAAGGCGGCTCAGACTGCTGATAAGGCGCTAAGCCCGACGAGGCCATCAGCGACCGCAGCGAGAAAAATGTTTTTAAAAATGAAATCACTTTTAATGAGTCATTCAAGTGGCAAGAAGAAGCCGTCTGTAAAGCGTGCAGACAACGGACTTGCCACTTGCCACTGCCACACACAACTCCTAGAATGAAAATAATAATTTTTACAAAGCAGCAAATAAGTTAGAGCAATAAAAAAGGCAATAGCAGAAAAAATTACAATTCTCTTTAGAGTGTAGGCGATTTAATACTCTTCAAATTCTGTTAATATATGCACATAACGAATGATAATTGAGAATGATAATGAAGTTATAATTACAATACAATAATGAAGTTATAAATACAATTTGATCAAGTTTTTCAATAGATACTTGATTAAAATTTATTATAATTTGGATATAGCCCTTAAAAAAGCGAATTTGTATAAAAATATAATGGAAAAATTGCAATGAGAGACCATAATAGACTTAAGATATATTTGTGTAAATACTTCAAGCAGTTTGCCTTTGCAGAAAACTGAAAAAAATTTGTGAGAATATAAGCAAAATATTTCTAGTCGGGATAATATGTTAATTTTTTGGTACTGATAGTATATAGCAAAAAATATATTTACAAAAATTAATATCAATAATATCACATCCAATATGGATGTTTATATTACATGTTTATTCATGTAAAAACTATCTAAAATATGCAAAATAAAATTATGATATGATTTTACACCAAATTAAAAGGAAAAACTCCTGGACGAAGTTGATGTAAAATATAAGTCGAATTATTCTCAATATAATTATTTTTGTAAAAATTAAAATAAGAATAATTGAGTCAGTACAAATATATTTGTTGAAAAAATTCACCTATAGAGAGATACTAAATGTAAAATAATCTATGCAGCAAAATAAATATACATGTGTATATATTTATGTATATGTATAATTATTGTTTTTATATACATATTCTCTGCTCAAAAATCTCGCTGAAGATTTTGCACATAATACGCGAAAATGCTAATAGCCTCGGTGAGTGTATGAAAGGAAGGCAAAAGCAATAATAATAATATCGCGCGCTATGGATGCGGATGCTGCAGGAAGCGTCAGTCGCCAGTTGCAAGTTGGTGTCGCAAAAGCAACCAAAGGCAAAGCTAGAGCTAACGCCAAAGTCGATGCCGCCACCGACACGGACGCCGACGACGAGGATGGCGACGCCGACGATTCCACAGGAAATCGCAAGCACGCCTGGCAACGAGAAGTGGCATCCTGCTGGAGCAACAAGTTGCTCGCTGTCTGGCCAGACTCCTCCGGCCATTTCACTTTGCTTTCCATTTTATTACTAATTTCTTTCGTTTTTTTTTTTCTACTTCTACTCCAGTTGTGATTGTATTCATATCCATCCACCTCCCGTTCACTGGTTTTGTTCTTCTTTGTGCAGAGTTTTTGCAAATTATAACGACAAGCAAGAGTCTGACGCGTCGCGGAAGCGGGCGCCGCTCCTGGGTCGAGCGTCCACTTGAAGGCTGGTCATTTAATGAGACGAAACGACAACAAATTGTTTAAACATTATTTGCGCTTTCTTATTTCAGTTTGTGCGGCATTTCCTTTTCCCTTTTTGCGCTTTTTTCCTCTTACACTTCGTTATTTTATTCTACTCACCACGGAAAGTGTGCTAAGCTAGGGTATAATGACTGAGTGGAAATGTAGGCATACATTACAGACTCTCCCTGGAAAGGATTTCGGATTTTTACAGTCGAGGAGAAAAAACAAATCAGATTTGAGATGTTAACAGTTATACTTGATATACAGTTTATAGTTCAAGTGATCTAACACACGCAGAGCATCTTTTAGTCGTTCTCATTCCGATTTGACACTCTTATTTGTTATTTATAAGCCTTATTGCACATACACAGAGATAACAAAGCGCATAATGAGCTCTGTAGTGCAGCAGCCAATGGAAGGAAGGATGAGAGGAGGGCTTTATATAGACAACTGAACTGAAATTAAGAAAACTTCAGCGTGATGAGTCTATACATTACGATTGTTGATTTAAAAACTTCGTAGACAAAAGAAATTGGCTACGCTCCACACTTTTACCGTAGGTAAATGAAGAATTCCTACCTGTGCAGACGAGCAGTTCAGAAATAAGCAAAGCACGTACATAACTTATATGAATAAGTAATCTAGAGATTTTTAAAAATCATTTTCAAATATATCAAGTCATAAAACAATATTTAATAAAATATTCGCATTTTTAAATTGATAATAAAACTTATTTTATGAAATTAATTTATATTTCATATTTATATTTATATCTGGCATGAAAATGTCTTCGCCTTTTGTTCTGCGCCTAAGCTTAGGTCTTAATTGTTTATTGAAAATTTTTTTAGACAACAAAAAACGCAAAACTTTTAAAAATTAATGATATAAGAACTCTTTTTTTTTTTTAATTCTTTTAAATGAGCAAGCTTTTTGTGCTAAATAGTCAAGTCTAATTGCTCAAATAGTATCTCGTTCAGCCCTTGTTCTCTGCGCAGTTGATTGTAATACCTGAGCAAACGCTTTAGGACTGGAAGAATTACCTCCTCCAAAATAATAAGACGTTTGGAAACCCTATGGAGAATTTGATCTAGATATATAGAGTATTTATAAATATTATTGCACCCACCTTTTCATGCGCAAAGGCAGATACATATCCGGGGTTAGGGGGGCTGGATTGCTGCGATAAGAATTTATTGAATTCAGTCTTTGGAGACACTTGAGATGGCCAACTTACTCGATCGGATGCTTTCGTTTGGCAGTCAAGCTGGACACCATTTGGGGAATAAAGTGGTGATCCACTTCCCATTCACCCTCTTCATCTATGTCAACCTTTTGGCGGAATTTTCGCTTGCGACAGAAGACCAAATAAATCAGATCGTACAAACTTATGAAAAACATACGAATGACGATAGTCAATTTGGATTTCTTAGTCTTTACTGTGGCGCTGATCTCATCGTAGGCGGCAAGGAGGATGCCCAGGCAGGCGTGCAGCACCAGCAGCACATAGACAATCAGCACAAAGGAAATGTAGTAGATCCTTGTTTTCACCTTATTTTTGTCCGTAATCTCTTCGTATGCAAATTTACACGCCGCCAAGCTCATTATGGATATCAATGAATCACTCAGACTGCAAAATTTCACATCGTTGACGCCAAATAATACCAAACCGCACTCTGCATAGGCCATTAGGATGATAAGCAACACGACCGTAAATCCAATCAGTTCGTTGACGCTCTAAGGAAGTGAATTTATATTTGAATAAAAGAACTGTAAATAACAAAGGAAATAACAAAGCCCATTCGTAACAGCAGCCTAGCTAAGAAAAACCCGGAACCGTATATGGGCAAGTGAGTGAAACCTATAGAATTGATTCAAAAGAATCAATATAAGATTATTATACCGTATCTGATACTGTTTCCATTGCATAAGATATGCGATATTAGAAACTAGAGGATTTCGATTTGTTATCAGACTCACGTACTCTTAGCAGCACTTTCTTAAAGACCGTCATGGTACGATTAATGATCAAAAAGGTAAGCAAACGTATCCAGATCATAAAAATAGCAATTCCATTAATATAAGTAGCAACGTTTCCCATGAAACAGGCCCAGTCAAGAGAAATATATTGATCAGTTTGCTTCTTCTTCTGCATTAAGCTCTCAATATAGAAGTGATGGACCACTTGCATCACCAGTGACATGAATGATAACTGAGGAGTAGAGGAGTCAAGATCAGGATTAAGTGAGTAAGAACTACATTCAAACGAAGTTAGGGAACTTAGCTAGTTTACCCACCAAGTAGCTAGTAAAATCCGTAAAATTGAAAAAACTGTGTATGTATTTTTTAAAACCAATTCGAAATATAATCGCAATTTCTCTAACTGTAAACATTATGACCATCAGAAAGTAGCAACAGGCCACAGCTTGTAAGCTCCAATCGGATGTGGTGAAGATCGAATGTCTCCGTAACGCAGTGAATGTGGCACTGGGAAAAATTCCACCAAACGAAGGTTGCTCAAATCGCAGTCTGTAAGCCAGAATAGAATGTTATGTTAATGTTAAGCATAATAATTTTCCATGTTGTCTCTGCAGAGGAAATTACGCTTAACTAACAAATAACAATTGCAATAACCCCTGACATATCTATCTCTCGGTCCCTCTCTCTATTTTTGGTATGCCTGTTTTTACGCTACTTACTTCACGATCTCCAGCAAATCTGTCATGATATGATATAAATTGAACTCAATAATAACAATTCGGGTATTACGGCTGAACCACTCGTTATCGCGTAAATTCTTAATTATTTCCACATTTTCCCTATAGTTGTATGTAAGCCTCTGTATGAATCCGGCACCGAAATACCAGTCTAAAATGCCATTGATTGGCGTTGCACCATCCTCTGCCATGCTGACCCACTGATATCCCTGATGGTTTGCACGGCTCTCAGCGGACCACGAGTATGGTGCATAACAGGTGGGCGACTTCTTGGAGAATACGGGATTGGTGGGGCACAGACCATCTCTCACGCAGATCTGTCTGAGACGCGGTGGTCCGAGCAGCACGTTGCCATGGTATATGTTTCGCTCGACCATATTGCCGTAGAGCTCATCGTAAAAAGACGTCTCGTTGGGAAACGTATAGATTGCGGCCGGATCATTCGGTCGAAAGTCGCCTTTTTCGAGAAAGTTTAATAATACATCCAAGGTGTAGACCCAAAACCGATCGATGTTATGAATATCTTCAAATTTTCCATTCGGATTGTATTCGAAGTTTATCGCACGCTTTACCAATAGGCTCTGCAGAGCATTGTTATAGTAGTACATATTCTTAGTGTTGTTCATCTGTGTGACTGCGGAAATGAGCAGAGTTGCGTGTCGTGAATCGCCATACAATAAGAAGTCGAGCTCATCGCTTACCAACTGAGGCCAGTGCCACAAATATGATGTACACAAGAAAATCTACAACAGCACGACGAGCTCCCCTAACGGTGCTATATTTAATTTCCTTTGAGCGGTGGAGCCAAAGGTAAATGCGATCCTTCACTGAAAGGCGTAAAGCTTGAAGTTCCGACATAATTTCAAATTGTTAATTCCTATCGGTATATAAATATTTCTACTGAGTTGTATACCAAATATGGATTTTCATATTGAAGTCAATGCTTGCTTTATTTCCATATTATTTTAGCTACGCAGCTCAAAATTATTTTTGTTGTGCTGCTGCATATTTTATTTTTTAAAGTTTGTTAATTTTGTCTATGATTTTCATATGTAACTTTAATTTATATCGAATATATTCCATTATAAATATATTTATATGTATAAGAAATTTAAATCAAGCTAATGTTAAGAAAATCTGCCGATAAGTGAATATCATGAACTGATGACCAAAATTTACCTATATTAGATAATTTATCTGATTCAAAATCAGTTTTTCGCTGCAAATTACATAATTTCCATCAAAAGCTTTGTATATTTATTAGACAAGTTTAGTCTGAATAAAAATTTTACTATTATCTATGCATATTTGCTTCATAAAATATTGCCAAGATCTGAAAACTCGGAGCTAATAATCATCTTATGAATCATGTATTCATTATTATTGTTTACAACTTCAACTTGCTCTGGCAACACTAATGTCATTTACTCATAAGCAAGCACATTGAGCTGAAAATGATTTCACTTAACGCACTCTTGCCACAGACAGTAAACATTGCTGTTATCATTTAATATATATTTTCCTGTCATTTAATTTCTTTTTGTTCGGTTTTTCCGTCTTAATCTTCATCCCCATTCCGTTCAGGGTTTCGGGTTTGTCTTTTGGATTGCATTGTCGTATTGCTTTAATGGTGCTTTGTTCTTCGCGCTTGGGCTTTGAAAATGATTTTGTAAAACGCGATGCCAAATAGGAAATCATCATAATTTTCGTTTATTACGAGAGTTTTTACCCATTTGGCCATAGTTGTTGCGTTTGCTTTTGCTTTTCATGTTTCTTTATGGGAAAAAGTTTGTCTGTTGGCAACGTTGTTGCTTTAATTGCCATTGTCATGCCTTGTCCCTGTTGTTAGAGTCATTGTACTACGCCCCAGCCCTCAATAGAATGGCAAAGCAAGTTGCCAGCTCCTTTGATTTGTTTTTGCCAACAAACGCAAGCAAACGGAAAGAAAATAGAAAAACATATAACTTTTAAAGGACACTAGGGGGCAGGCATCCCCAGAGCCAGAGCCAGAGCTAGAGCCTGTTTCTCAGTGTCTCTGTGTCTGGGCCTCTTCCTGTGCTAAAAGGTGTGCGCCCAGCTCAGCTTATATAAGCGAACACATTTTCGAGTTATTAATGGAAAACTCTTGGCCATTTCGCTCACTTGCTCTGTGTCTGCCTTAGATAAATACAAGTGCTAACTAAATGTTATGTTTTCATTATGCATGGCAGGGGCAGCAGGAGCGGCAGCAGCAACAATAACTTTTAGACAACTTGCAGTCAGTTTCCAACTCCAGCTGTGGCTTTCGTCTTCTTTATGCTGCCAGCTGTTTATTGGCTTTGACAATCTTTTTCTCATCTTAGCCTTAAGGCTATGGCCAATTGTTAGAAAAAGGTATTTCAATAAGCGCTAGCTATCTATCTGTATAATAAATCTAACTTGAGTTCAAAGTTAAAGAATTTCAATAAACTTACTCTATATTCTACACCAACTCTCTATTTACTTAGCTAAGAATTTTTGTTTTCATAGTTTCGTTGACAATATTATTTTTCATGCTTGCTCTTTGAATGTCTACAATTCCTCGCTCTGCAGAGTATCTCCAGCTCGTGCAGCCTTACTACTCTCCCCCTCTCCTGCTTTGTTCTGCTCTATTGTTTAGCACATATATTGGCTCTCATCTGTTTGAGTAAAGTGCACTTTTTTAACTAACTTGTCTAACGCAACTAATGAAAAGATTTGTTATTAGTTTTGCAGCAGCGCAACTTAAAGCAGGTGCAAAAAGTAGCGGCCAAACTTTTTGCCCAAGGACTAAAACACGGCAAAAAAAA